CGCTGCGCAAGCTGGAACGCGAGTATGCCCATCTCCTCAAGGACCCCTATGCCATGGACTACAAGGCGGCACACAAGATCATGCACCTGTCCATGCTCTACGACTGCCCCTTTATATTTGCATTCAGCGGACAATTCTCACTCCTCAAGACATTCGCCATCGCCTCGGGCACCGAGCTGCTCGCAAAGACGCGTCAACTGAGCGCCTGCCCCAACGTGGGGCGACGCATCAACGACACGGCGCTCATCACGACCGAGTTTGTCGTCGGGTCCATGGACAGCGAGCGCGGGTCACGAGCCCTCGCCAAGATGAACTGGATACACCGGCAGTACGGGGACAAGATCACGCAGCCCGAGATGCTGCACACTCTCGGAGTCAACATCATGGAGGGCATCCGCTGGGTCAACACGTACGAGTGGCGCAAGCTGACGTACCTGGAACAGGTCGCCATGTTCGTCTACTGGAAGGAAGTGGGCAACCGCATGGGCATCAAGGACATCCCGCCGACCATCGAGAAGCTGGCCGAGTGGACCGAGGAATACGAGCAGACGGCCATGGTCTACTCGGACAACAACCGCAAATGCGCCGACGTCTCGGTCGACTTTTTCCTCAAGCACGTCTCGCCCCCGCTGCGCGGCTTCTTCCGCAAAGTCATGATGGCCCTGCTGGAGGAGAGGACGCGCAACGCGTTGGGATACCCCGCCGCCTCGCGCACCATCGAGGTCTTTGTCTACCGATTCTTCCGGCTCCGCGCCTTCGTGGTGCGCAACTTGTTCCTCCCGCGCCTGCGACCGATTGATCCTCTGGCCAAAGCGGACAAGAAATCCGGCCGTCTCCACCCGGTGAAACAGCAGAGCATCGAGCCCTGGTACGTCAAGGACACCGTGTGGCACAAACTCTCGGCACTGCTGTCTGGTGGCTCTCAATACATCCCCGGCCCGAAATTCAAGAGCGAAGGCTACCTGCCCGAGGAGCTGGGCCCTGCCAAGTTCGAGAACATGTCGCGGGATGCCGTCCTGAAAGAGGCAGAGGCGATGAGGTCGTACGGCGCCGAAGGAGGTGCCGCGATCATTGGCTGTCCTTTCCGCTTCAACTAAACTGGGGGGGGGGGGGGGGCATAAAATTGGGACCTTCCAGGCGGTTGTGGCGACCTGCTTAGCTAGAGACAAGCATTGGCCAAGTCGGTCGGTCTGGTAGCCGGAAGGTCCCAGAACATGTCAAGGAGAAGGCGAAAGAGCCTTGAAATCCTGGCTTACCGGGTAGTGGAGAGGATACGGAAGTGATTGACAAGGAGCCACGCTCAGATCACTCAAGTGCAGGACTTTCCCTGAAGGACTTAAGGAGAACCAGGGTCGTAAAGGTGGATAGTGGTGGATTCGAGGACGACCATATAAACCATGTAGCTGAACATAGGGCCTGGGGCGTGACATAGGCACAAGTTAAACAAGGACTAGACCTTGATAACGCCATGCTATTGGCCACCGATAAACAAACGATGATGTTAAAACATGAGAGACTTTCGAGAATCATAGTGGGTATCGTATATTCGTATTCTACTCCTCGTCTCCGACATGCCATTCCCTTCAAGACACTTGTGGCATTCTCCCCCACATGGTATGAGAAAAGTCCATGTTGACCGAACACTTCTCACTCTGTGAAGACTCTTGGCTGTCTCCCGACCTCGTCAAAGTCTTTCGCTGAACAGCCACGGCCTGTTGTGACACCGAAGGTTGCAGGGTGTAAATAGAAGTTTGCGGGAACTCGGGTATATCGCCGCGTAGCTCTGGCAAGGCGACGAAATAGTCATTGTGCATCGTCCAGCAGGCGAGATCCTCTGTGCGCCCGATAAACTGCTCCGAGAATGCATATAGGCCGGTGTCTGGGTCCCGGTAGTAGATGTCCTCGGGCTCGAACGGCCACAGAAAGCGAAAGTTGGAGCTGAAAAGCTCAGCGTATCGGTCTGCGTTGGCAGCGAACTTGTGTGGTGAGAAGATCAATCTTTCGCGGACTCCGGGCCTTTTGCACTTGTCAGTGAGAACAAGTCGTTTTTGCCCATCCACCTCGGCAAGCACCGAGTTGATGTGACTGATAGGGGGAGACATAAACCCTTACCAGACGAGATAATCAATCATTGGATGATGCTTGATGTGTTCTTGACACGGGCTATAATACAGCAGCAATTAGTAAAGCGCAGGGCGATGACGGCAAGGCATAGGCTGTCACGAACCGTCTTAGCATAAAATGTGGTAGCTCTGGTCGCTGTTCAGCCGTCGTCACGTACTGTTGTAGGTCCGTCAGTGAGCAATGTATGTGGAGAGAGAAAACGGTTTTTTCTAGGGTTGCAAGATCGTACCTGGCACATCAGCCTCATCATCCGCAAGACGGCCATTCTTTCCGCAATACCACATCTGGGAAATATGGTTTGGTCAACTTCGCGAAGAACCTTCCACCCATGATCCAGTGGCCCTCGTGCCTCGACAGCGTTCCAGCCACGCAGGACTGCTGTAATTGCAATATCTCCATCGAGCGCATCCTCGGGTGGTTCAAGTGGGTACAAAACCGGTGAAGCCAGCAGGTTTACCGTAGTTACCCAATCCCGACCTCCAGCCCCTGTTCGGAGGGAGCGTATAAGTAAAGATTCCGAGATGGGCGGAAACGGCCAAGAGTTAGGGGTCGGTTCATTCATGGACGTTGTTTCTCTGACATAGAGAATGTCTGACGCCTCGAAGGTCGGGGGAGCGACCGGCTCCCGGACCGAAAAGTCCAGAAGGTCGTCGTGAATGAACTCTCCCAGATCTGCGTCCTCTCCTGTAAACATTGATGAAAACCCGGCACCATCTGTTTGGGGTTCAACGATGGGATGGATAGTCGCGTCTGTATCCCCCACGCATTTGCCAGGTTCCGTCTCGTAATCCATCTTGGTCGGTTGAAACGGCTGGATTTCGCTGATTTTCGGGGGATCATGCTTCATCTCTTTGACGTTTGCTTGATCTGTCATTGGCTCGGGCGAAGACGAAGTGCCCATATATTGACCATCCCCCACTTCGACGCCCAGGGCCGTTTGGGCGATCCGGCAGATGGTGGTGAGGGCCTTCTTGATCTCGATATTTTCGGCGCCCTGACGTTTGAGCAGCTCGACGGGCTCAGAGCCTGCGGAAGCATCCAACGACTTGACTAGGGCCTCCAGATGCGCGATATAGTTTTTCTGTTTCAGGCGGGAGGCTTTTTGCGATTCCCGGTCGGCTTTTCTTTTTCTCGCAAGCCGTGCAGGGGACATCCTACTTGCTCTCGAGGTAGTAGTGCTCGTTTGGGTAGGGGGAGACATATCGTCTCCTTGTGGTTCCATGGTTCAGAATGCGACTGATGTTTGCTGTGCCCTGGAATAAAACTAACAACTAGGATGAGTTGAAATAAGATCGGGAGTAGAGGTGGGTTTGGGGGAAAGGTATGTAGGACACCGAGGCAAGAGAGAAACTGACAATTTCATGAGATCTGGCCCCGAGCTTGGCGGCGGGGAGGGTTTTTCGTGGGGGGACAATGGGGAGCAAGCTGGTGGCTGCGAGTGGCTCTTGTGCTTCATAAGGACAGTAGATATGTGCACAAATGGTCCTTGGGTGGCCGTTGGGGCCAAGGTTTGGGGCAAGGGTTGCCCTTGGACTCCCCCCAGAATTCAGTAGAGGTGTCGGGACTAAGAATGTCCGGGGGAGGGACGCTAGAGCCAACCACCTGCCCAACCAAGTGGGTGCCAAGTATCCAGGTAGGTAACTGAGGTGCCCGCTGGATCCATCCGCAGCTGGGGTTTGCAACCTCTTCGCAAGATGCTCCCACTCTTCTTCAGGTGGTGTCCCAGTATCCAGTAACATGATGACCTGGAAAAAGTTTCGAGATATGAACCTAAGGTTAAATCGTGCAGATGAACGTCTAAAGCCCAGGCACATCGTAAAAGAGACCAAAGCTCTCCCAGGTATTTAAATTCTTTTCTCCTCGCCTCTGGGAGGGTTGAGTGTGAGCACGCTTTAGCAGCGCCAAAGGTAAACGCGGGTACCACTGCGAAAGGTATCTTGTGCTTGGACGAGGTACTCCTGAAGCAAAGTGACATAGGTGCCCATTGGATCTGGTGTGAGACTGAGGACCCTTGGGCCCGGGGCGCCTGCCACAGTCAACATCAGCTAGACGCACCTGAGTGGCACCTAGTCTTGATCATGGTCGCCAGGGCCGCCTGGACCTCATACCTACCTGATGTCCTCGTAGGTACTCGTCATTCACAAGTGGATTCTAATGGGCCTGCACTCTTTGATATCCACGCCCATCAGGACCTCACCAAACATCGTACTACTTCAAGGCATCTCCCGCCTCGCCACCAAGCTCTCCATTAATCCATTCATAGGTACTCGTTTCTCACATTCGCTGGCACGATAGGCTAGAATGCAGGCGAAAAGGAATCGTATGAACCCGATTGTCGTGTCTAAACCTTCGACCCCTGCCGACCAACCAACCATGTACCTCACACTCGGCACATAGCCGTGATCGCTTTCAGTAGCGAGGAGGCGGCGTGCGAGAAGCGCAGTGGGCCCTCGGTCGATTGAACACACCCACACCTCTCAACCGCAGTCTAGCGAAAGCCAAAGAGAAGGGGTTATGCCGCTTGTGCGTCCTGACACGTCCTATACAAATTCATCCGCCGAGGATACGTACTTTAAAGACCAGAATGCGTATCACCCTGTGGAAATCCTCGAGGGGGAGGCTCTTTCAAACCATCTCGGAGCTGACAGGTCATCGGCCTTCCGCTCATGTCGCCCGCTATTGAAACTTTCCCCAGGTCCCCTCCTATACGTCATGACTATCCCATTGGGGTCCCACGAAAGCGAGATGAGAAGATATAGGATGAAAAATGTTAGCTCTCTAGATTTTCAATGTGCCTCTGGGTTCAGAAACAACGGGGAGCTCATTGTCGCCTTCGAATCAACCTTTGTCTTCCCCATTACGCTGTATATCTCATAATGGCGCACAAGGAGAAAGAGGCCGAGGAACAGGCCGAAGAGGAGAACAACGCTTCTCTCGAGGAACCAGAGCCAGTCGCTGATGCCGACCTCGAAGGTCAAGGGGAGAAGGATACGAAGCCAGAGCACAAGGAGCCAAACGAAGATTCTGCACATGCTGGCCAGAAGCGCAAGGATCCGCCAACTGATTCCTCCCAGTCTGAAGCAGACACCAAGGTGCCACGACAAGGTCCACCTCGCAACACCGAGACCGCGGCTTCGCCAAAACAACTCCTCAAATTCCTTCTCTCCGGCCCAGCGATGCCCTATTGTTTTCCCGCGGACGAACTCGACGACGCCAGGAGGACGTCCAAGGGGTACAAGTCCTATTCTCTGACGTCCCCAGCAAGTTTCACGCCCTTTGAGCACCTACTTTGCGCACACATGCTCTCCAAGCCCCTCTCCCACACTCTGGGCATGAGAAGCATCCGCACCCTGCTCAACGAACCCTTCAGCCTGGACACGCCCGAGGCCATCATCTCGGCCGGGGAGCAGGGGGTGTGGAACGCCCTCGAAGCAGCGCGGACGCAACACCGCCAGAAGACTGCGTCGTACGTCTTCCGCACCGCAGAGCTCTACAGCGACTCCGAGACCATGTTCCAGCTCGCCGAGGAGGCGAACGATGGCGGGCCGCACGGGGTCATTGAGCACATCAAGTCCACGGTGCCCGGCCTGGCCGTCACGGGCGGCGAAATCTTCTGTCGCAGGATCCAGTGCGTGGACGGGTGGGGCGGTGCCGTGTGGCCGTATGCGGACTCAAAGGCCCTCGACGCGGTCAGAAAGGTGGGTATCCCCGTCGACGACGCAGAGCAGTTGCGGGCCATGATCGTCGACGAGGTTCACCGGAACAAACGGCTCGGAGACATGGGGTTGCACGAAAGGAAACTGAACGAGGAACAGCTCGTCGAGGAGCAGGCCAACGCGCAGATCCAGGTAGCGTTTGTGGTGGCATTGGAGAGAGCATTGGGTTGCGTGCTCGAGGGCAAAGTAGCAGAGCTACAAGTAGCGGCGGCGGCAGCGAATGCTGTTGTTGCATAAAAGGTGACAGACAAATTGCAAAACTTGGCTCGGATCAGCCATTTCTCAGCGTTGCCGATACTTTCGTCTATCACGCGGTACAAATTGAATACATGTGGAGAGTATAATCCATGTTCCCTGCCCATGCCCTATGGGACTCGTAACTCCGTTCTGAAGCGGTCAAAACTATTCGGTAATCCCTCAACTCGCGAGCGCCGCCTGCCATGAGATGAATGTCCGCTGCCAACAAAGTCCCCGATGAACAACAGATCCATAGAGCATAGCACCATTCTGCTGAGTCCTCCCAACCCCCGGGCAATGCTGCACGACCAGATAGGCCTCCTATGAGGTGATACGACGATAGTAAACCACCGACTTCGCTAGCGGTGGTCAAGACGAGAACGTTGCTTGGAGATTGGCGAATGCAGCTGGGCCTCCATCTTCGCTAAGAACATCGATCAAAGCCTCTGTCTGCTTCCACGCCGTCTCCAGGGCAGCTGAGGGGGAGCGTCCGAGCGACACTGCCAGCTGTCAGTAAGTGATGATAAAGGTCGGCGTAAAGGGCTTACCTAGAATGGCAGAGTTGAGCTCCTCCGCGACTGTAACTCTGCCGGCAGGGTCCAAGAGATGTCCATTCACACTGCCTCTGGGGTCGTCGTATGCCACCAGACTGAAAATGTCCTGCAGTGTCTTTGCGTAATCCCCATCCTCGTCGCGGAACTCCCTATGCAGTTCTTGACCGTACAACATCGCCTCGTTGAGCAACTGATCGTGCTGTAAAGCTCCGTCATCAGCCCGCGACTTGCCCACGCCATTAGCGCTACTGTCGCCGTTGGGCTGCTCGTCAAGTTCCATGTCTTGGGCGAAATCATCATCTACCCCGGAGATGTTCTCCAGTCTGCCGCTCGCTTTCCGTTCATGCCCAGTTGGATGTTTGGAGGTATCGAGTTCGGTCGATTTGCCAATGAGTTCAATCCATTTCCGGCATTTGAGCCGGAAAACAATGTCTGGGTTTTCTACTAGAACGGTAGGGAACTGTGCGTGAGTGATCTCTAGAGCTTGGTCGATATCCCCGGACAGGATTGCACGCCGTATCCCTATATTGGTCAGCATCAAGGTTAGTGAATAGAGAGCATCTCACTCACGTTGTCGGTGTACCGCGTCAGTGTCGTCCCGATCGCCAGGTGTCGCCACGTTGGAAGGAAGGGCATTGTTCAACGATTGCTTTTCTCTTCGCATCTCCTCCGCAAACGCCTTCGCCGTTTCAACATAGCCGTCGTGAGCTAGGAAATGTGCCACCAACTCCTGAATCAGGGTATCCTCGTCCGCTTGTGGCCGTAATGATGTGGTTTTGGCCTTCGCAATCTCTCTTGACAAATTCGCCTTTTCAGATATCATCTTATCATCAATGTCAAAGACAAAAGGCCGCTGACCGAAATTGCCTGCTAACAACACGCCCGAGTGTTTTTTCATACCAATCGTGGGGTATAATTTCGCATCCTTTTTCAGTTCCCGAAAACATATACCGAGATCCTGTCCATTCTTGGTGAAGAAAGCCTGACAGGTGTTGAAGTTGATTCCACAACCAATGACATCGCCTGCGCCAAAGGTTGGGCCATAGCTTCGACCTGAATGCTCCCCGAAAAACATCTTTCCATCATCCCCGTGATATCCCCAGGATTGAGTCTCCCAGCCCGGTAAACGCTCAAGCGACGCTTCATTTGTGGAAAACCCAATAGCGATAGCTGTCTCCTTGCTCTTCTGTTTAATTTCCACCTCGAAATAGTATATCCCGCAAGCAAGTGGCATTGCATGATCCGTTCTGACAGACGCTGCTTCAATATCGGCCTTGCTTACTGAACCACTGTATTTCAGGTCTTGCCCATCGATTATATCCAGCCCTGGGTATTTGTCTTGCTCGCTCCACCTGGAAGGCAACGGAGGTAACACGTCCTCTTCTTTGGGCGGATTGCTTTCAATTATGTCGTAAGTCATGCCACGGTGAGAGGGTGCCAATCTTGTATTTCCAGCATTTGTAGGAAACGAGTTGAGCGCGGAAGGCCCTCCCGATGGTTGCTCACGCTCTTTCTTCACCTTAGCCTTGTGGGCCGCTTCCAACTTTGCCATGTATCGAGAATGCCTCAGGTAAGAGGGGATGAAGAAGGGATTGGGGGACATCGTGTTCATTCCGAAAGTCGTTAGATTGGCAAACTTTCGTGAATATGAGGGAAGAGGCGTGGGCTTCCGCCAGTTGTTAACTCCGAGACTGTCCTGGTCTTGCTCCGAATGTCGTCTTTGATAATGCTGTTCTGGTTGATACTGAGGGGGGTATGAGCTGCTCGGAGTCGCAGACACAAGATGGGAGAACGCTCCCGATCGAGTCGGGTGGTGGAGTGTCTGCGCCGTTGCGCCAGAGGCAACAGAAGCATATGACAAACGTCGAGGCACATTACCGCCAAACTGACTCGATCGGCTATTACTGCCTGAGCCAGTACCGTCAGTCATCGTGGTCCAGAGCGAAGGGCGAGATAATGTATGGAGATGGTCGACCGCCGCGTTCGTAGGGAGTGAGAGAAGGGAATCGGTGAAAGGTCACGCGGTAGATGGTGCGGTTGGTCGGTGGGTGGGTATGCTGGAGGTCGTTTGGTCCGGGAGTGAGACGTGAGAGATTCCGCAGAAGATTCGACTCAAGGCATGTTCGTCTCCTCGGTTCACGCCCAGATTTGACGGCGGTTCAAAGTATGTACCAGCTGGTGGTCTGTAGAAAAGGATTGGAAGGGCATTGCGGATGTTGTTATCGTGCTGATATGGGTTCCGGGGGGGTTACTGATGCAATAATACTTGGTGCAGGTCCTATGGGGCAAGCTGTTGGGTGGCAATTGAGCAACGTAGGGGGTTTTCACTAGTTAAGGAAGTTGCGGGGGCCACTTCCACCAAAGCAGCACCAGACCCCAATACGCCAGCATCATCATGCCTGACACCATCCCGCTTATCATACCATTTGGTAGATGCAGCTCAGCGGTGCAGAGGACGTGTCGAACATGTACTATTTTCATTCTTGTCTATTCATACAGCTCACAGAAAGAGAAACGCCCAAATACATGACCCTGAAACCCCTTTCATTCCTTCGAGACATGCTACAATCACCGTTGCTACGAGTTGATCCCCTGTTTGTTGTAGTACAAGTCCCCTGTAATTCATAGTATTCCGTTTTGCAAGCAGATGACAAGCACCAAAATATAATGACGAATCCGAAAACGCCATGCTGCATGGAAAATCACGTTGTAAAGGTGCCATCTTGAGCTGTACCCCGGCTCTAGTATAATGGCAATGCAGGAATCCAAAATATTCCCAACTTTTTGGAATGCGAGAAAGACGCAGCCCAGTTCCTGCGTACAATTTTTGCCGCATATGAAGCTGCCAAGTGACAAGACTTAGCTTTTGACGGTGAGTGGTAGTGTGTGCTTTGACCGATCAATCAACCTTGAGCAGCAATGGCTGCTGAAGGGGGTGGCATTGGTGCTGGAGAACTTGCAGCAGGCGTTGACATGAGCATAGGCTCTGCTTGGTCGCCAGCGTTGCTGTCCATGGCGACGTCACTTTCGTTGGGTTTGACGTCGCTAGAACCTTGATGTGAGACCTGGTTGGTATCGCTTGACTCTTCACCGTTGAGTATTTGTGGTCTTTCTTGCCCTCGCCACGAAGCAAGCTCCCAAACCACCCCAGTAAAACTCTTGAGAGTAAATGGCTTTTTGCTCCACTTGCGACAGGGCTTACCGGAGCGGTCGAGAGCACGAAGGCCGGCGTTAATGGCACCTTGATTAGCTTTTGGGCCCAGCTTGTGCCCAATATTGATGCCAGCTGGAGTCGAGGCCTTGACGCCACCATGATCAATGGTGCCATCTTCACTGTAGGTAGTAAGTCAGCAATGTATCAAAGACAAAGGTGTAGGAACTTTGGCACAAAGGTTGGGTATGCTTACAGTCTGGGTTTCTTTTTTGGGCCAGGCTTGCCTCGTGGTCTTGGTAGTCCATTCACCTCAGACATTTGTCCTAGACTTCTCTTTGTGCCTGCCAGCGAACCTCCTTTGCGCTTCTTCGAGCCATCACCATTCGAGGTATCGGCCGCATCCGCAGATGTGGGAGCCGGGGTTGAGGCGGCTTCGGAGGCATCTTCATTGACTTCGGGGACTTTCAGAGTGGATGTCTCCTCGACTGTAGCAGGGGGAGACGACGCTACTGAGGCCGTCGACTGTTCCTCTGACTTGGCTGGAGGCTCCTCGAAGCGACGCAGGACCTGGGGTGACAACTTGAGTGTTAGGATCTTGACTTGCTTTTTGTTTTTGTCTGGTTTGGCCGTGGCTGACGGTGATCGACCTGCCGTACTGGAGGAAGACATGGCCATGGACGGGGATTATCGAGGGTGTCAAGGTGGAAATGGTAGGAGTTTTCGAGTGTGAGGCAAGCTGGTTGGTGTGTGTGCACTCAACGGTTCGGCTTTAGTAAGGCCCGTGCTAGTGGCAGCAGGATGGTGGCAGAGATTATTCGCCTGCGTGCGTGAAGCTGAGGTGCTAGGTTATTATTATTGTGGTCAACTTAGTTGTGTGGTGTTGGTAAGGGTGGAATGGACTGGTGACGAGTGGTCATGGTGGGTGTGTGCAGGTTGATGGATAGAAAGGGTGATGATGAGAAGTAGAAAAAGTGAAGATGAGGTGGGCATGGGAGTTGAAGGGGATGAGACAAAGACGGTGCTGGAGCTGGACCTGGCGTGTGATTTTGTGTGTAAGTGGCCGGATCATTCTGGATGGCATGGCTTGGGATTTTTGCGTGGTTATGGGTTTGGGTTTGGGTTGGCTCAGATCAGATCTGGGGAGCGCAGAGAAAAAGTGAGAGGGCTGAAGGGGTCGTGAGGGCGCGTGTGACGGCAGAACGGGAGGCGGCGAGCAGGAGAGGGCACAGGGCGGTTTGCTGCTCACGGCACGCGAAGACGCTCTTAGAAGAGAGAAGGATGAAGCGACCAGGGTTTTTCGGTTTGGTGTTGCGAGAACCCGCATTGGGCCAACGCAGGGGGGTCATTTGAAGTTCTCGGCGTGGGCGCCTGGGCGTGTCAGGCGTCGAAACGCTTCGAATCTGGCTGTCTGACAGAATCATTGATCGTCCGTCCGTGCAGCGCCCCGCCTGGCCACCAGCATTTTTAGTCAGGAGCAAAGCGCCCTAACCGCATACGGTAGCGCGGCCTTTGTCACTTTCTGTGGTCAAATCCACTCCTGCGACCTGTGGCCCTTTAGCCTTTTGCCTCCTTCTCGTAAAGGCCTCTTCTTCGCCAGTCACTTTCTGGGTCTCCTCGGTCACTTACCTCCAAGGTGCAATCCACTGAAAATCTTGGTCGCCGTATCTATCGCCTGAGGCTAGCTATCATCGATACCACTGGAATCGACTAATGTTTCCCACCTCGTCGCCGAGCTGCTGCCTGTTGGGTCATCAAACAGCAACTCCTTCTCTGCCTATCTCCGCATCTTCCGTCTACGGGAATCTGCCATGGTCAGGATAACAGCGAAGGCAATTTAGGAACAAGAATGACAAGGCCTACTTTGTAAACCCCCCTGGACAACGAAATGCATCCGGCGAAAAAAAGAAAGTTGCATCAACCTGGTGGATTTCTCAATAAACCTTTTCGCTCACCGCTTCGCCCAACTAACACTCAACCTCAGCCATCTGCTCAAGAAGCCCATACCCAGGTTCCTGCTGCGGCACTTCTCTCCGATTGTCAACGATTATCCCCAGACATAAAACCAGACATTCGGCCAAACTCTCGGATCACCACGACCCAGCGAAGCTCTTCCCTACTGTCCCCTGGCGAGTCCGCGCTGAGAGATCTCCAGAAGCAGTACACTACATTGTCCAATAGGCTCACTCATCTGCGTCAGTCTCTTCAGACGGTAGAACAGGCTCTTCAGATCGAGGGATCGAAGCAGAATGCCGAAGTGCAGTCTCTGGTTTCCCGTTGGCGGATCATCGCCCAAGATGCTGCAGAGGAGCTTTTCGCTGATGCCAAACAGAGGGTTGACATGATGGGAGGCGTTGTTCAGTGGCGACGACAGCTTGAGGAGGACTCACGACTGTGGAACAATGCTGAGAGCGAGGCGTTTGCTCCGAAATCTGCAGGCGAGGTGGAGGACGACTACGGTAAAAGAGAGACAGAGGAAGCCAACCATGCAAACCCTATGGATGCTGAGAGCGATAATGAATGCCCGGAAACTGTAAGTCCAAGGTTGGTTTATTTTCCCCTTGTGCGCACTAATTTTGCAATTTATTGTAGTGTTTCTTCACAATGGAGATGATGCTCAACCAAATGAACGTTGATTTACAATTAATCGGCTTTGACAAGAACCAGGAATGCTGGATATGACTGAAACCGGGAGTGGGATGCAACTCATATTTGAGAATCGCTGCGAGCTCCAGAATAAGAATGTTTCTGCAAAGGGAGAAGCGTTCATTCTGCCTCATATGGCAACTTCGTCCTGCCTAATTCGGAAATGGTCCAATGAGAATCCCCGAAAAGGCTGACAAAGCACATCTGCATCGCATTTGCTTCTCTTGGCTCCTGAAGGTATATTCTCTCGCCAGCCAGACATCCACTTGAAGCCAGCGGTTCTATGGTGCTGGGCTCTTTTCTTGGGCCCCCTCCCCAGTCGCAAGATGACTGAGTTGATCGTTCCGTGCTGAGAAATGCTAGGCCGGGCCGTGGCAGGGAAGATCTTGAAGGCAATACACGCCCAGATATATGGAGTATCCCAGGGGTATAAGTATGTATCGAGAGCTCCAGTCAAACAAATTCTATTCAGTCTATTTCCTCTCACGCCTTTCCTCTATACTTGATAACTATCCTTGCCTGAACTCTGAGGGTTTCAGTTCCATCTCAACTCCCAAAGCCTCGGTTGTCGTCAGCATGGACTCCCATACCACGCTGTTGACTGGAGGGTCGGGATTCGTCGGGGCCACAGTCCTCGATGAACTGCTTGCGCAGAATCACAACGTCATTCTCGCAGTCCGGTCCTCCTCGTCCGCCGAGTCGCTGCTGTCCAACAACCCGTCGTGGCCGGCGTCGAAAATCGCCGTGCACGCAGTCCCAAACTTCACCGTCCCCGGGGCCTTTGACTCGGTGTTTCAAGAATATCCGGAAATCGATTACATCGTTCACGTTGCGGCGCCTATGGTCGATATGCCTGACAGCACCAGCTTCGAGGAGTCGTTCGAGAAGCCCAGTGTCCTGGGCAATCTGGGTTTGCTCCGCAGCGCCAAGTTGTACGGGAAGAACGTCAAGGCTGTGAGTGTGACGGGGAGCTTGAATGCAATCACCCTCGGCGATCAGGAGGATGTTAAGAGTAGAGTTTTCGGAAACAGGGAGTGGTTGCCACTGGGCAGAGAGGCCGCGGTGGAAGCGAATAGTAACTATGTGAGTTTCCTTTCATTTTCCTTGCTGTCGTCTTCCACTGGGAATTAGTTTCGTCCGGGTTAAGGGACATTATAAAGGCGTGAATGAGCCCAGTCTCCAGCAAAAACCGCTGACACCGCTGCCTTCCTCTCTTTCAGATCTCCTACTGCGTTGGCAAAAAGCTCGCAGAACAGGCCCTGTGGAAATTTGTGGAAGAAGAGAAACCTGCCTTCACGGTGACCAACTTCATGCCCCCCTTGATCTTTGGCCCCATGCTGCAGAAAGTGGCCGGGGTGGAGAAGATCAATTTCAGCGATGGTCTGATTTATGCCATCATGAACAGCAAGAACAGTGAGAGTGGCAAAGTGCCAGCGACCGCGTTCCCAGGTTGTGTGAGTCCTCTCCTCCTTACCCACGAATACCATTGAATCGGTCCCTTTGGAGGAAATCACCACTGACCTAGGCTTGGACATAGATTGATGTCCGCGATCTGGCCAAAATCCAAATTTGTGCTCTCACAAATCCTGGGGCAGCAAATAAGAGGTTTGTGGTGGGCCATCCTATGATCTTCAATCAGATTGCCGATGTGCTGCGAAAGGAGTCTGCATTGAATATCTCGGATCGGATCGGTGAGGATAATGATGAGGGTTCGTCTCTGACACTCCCGAGGCTCGATACTAGGGATGTAGATGAAGTGTTCAAGTTCGAATGGACAGCCTTGGAAGTGACTGTGCGGGACACTGCAGCTGCATTACTCAAGATTGAGGCGGGTAGGGCTTGAGAGTCTTGCTGCTTCTTGTAGGTGTGGTCGCCGATAGCTGAAAGAATCTTGTAACGGAAAGATGGTGCATTCCATGCGTTGTCACATAGACAGTATTCACCTCATGACTGGAGGACGGCTTTCCTTATTCCATACGACTCGGCTTTTAACCCATTCCACAGCCTCCTTCACTCCTGTCCCTGTCAACGCACTCACTGGCAGAACACGGCTGTCTCGGACCATGCCTCCCTTCTCGCCTTCAAACACTTTCTTCACGAAGCCTTCCTTGATCCTGACAACTTCGAGGCAATCTTCCCTGTCCTGTTTGTTGGCCAAAATCAAGATGGGAATTCCGGCCGTATCGTCATTTTCGAGTACACTTTCTAGAACAGCCCGACATTCGTCCAATCGACCTTGAGAATGTCCAGAAGCGAAAAATCCTGGTGTCATGGGGGTCATCGGGGTCCATGGAGTCTGTGGTTCATCTTCATCACCACCCTTGCCAATATAGCTCTTCTTGCGCCCATGCCATCCGGGGGTCTTGGGTGCGTCGTCGATCTCTCCGTTCCCTACGTCGGTACTGTCCACAACAAACACTACCGCATGCGCGCTTTTATAATAGCTTGTCCATAACTTCCTCAAGCTCATTTGCCCGCCAACATCCCAGATCTTCAAGTACATCTCTGGCAGGTCGATCGTTGCAACATTTTGGCCCACAGTGGGTACCGTGTTGCCTGCGGTGTCTGAGGCAGGGGCATCGCCTGTCTGACCAGCGACAGGGTCTGCAGTGGTGTTGTAGAGGGCTTTTATTTGTGAGAGCAGGGTGGTCTTGCCGGCATTGTCAAGGCCCAGGAGGATGATGGAGTACTCTAATTACCGCGGGGGTCAGGTCAGCCTCGTGGATAAGACGCAGCTGTCGTTGGCGGGGCTTACCGGGCTTGCTGGTCGCATAGAGGTACAGGGAGCGAACCAGGTGATACATGTTGCGCAAACACGAAAGCGAAGAACGAGGGCTATTGAGAGCGTAGTCAAAGAACGAGAGTATGGAATCTTTGGCCCGACGGCGATTCTGCCACGTGTATCATTATTGCAATGTCTCGTGCTCCCCGAGCTGCACCTTCTTCAGCACGACAGATGGGGAGCCAAAGGCTTTTCGATAGAACAAAAACGCGACGGAGAAAGAGAACGGGTTCGGACTTTCCGTTTGCCTCAGGTTAATGATATTGTATCAATGCTGAATGGCAACTGACTTTAGAGAAGATCAAGCAGACGACCCGGAGAATATATGTTTCTGTCTGACAGAAATTCTCTAGGGTAGGCAGTATTACATTGTGACAAGTCAGACAAATGATTTTCCTTTGTGGATTTGTCCATGTCCCTTGCTTCCCTTCGCAGAGTTCGATCCAATCAACCTTCATTTCTCACCATTTGGACAACCCATGTTGAAGCCCTGAGCACTCGCTTGGGACTCTCCATCTCGCATTAGTGATGCCTACTCGGTACTTCTCTGAGTATTGGCTGGAATGGGCCCCTCCAGCCAGTGGCAACAACTCCATCTCTACGCGATTGGCTGTCGACACAGCCCACATGCAGACCTTTGGATCGGCGGCGCAGTAAGTTCGCACAACGGTGTGTTGTGCAGTCATGAGCCTGCGCAGGGGTGTGAGGCTGCAGAATCGATACAAGCGTTTCGTTTCAGTGAATATCATTAAAGGCCTGCCCAGTTGCGAGCTCCTCATCGATGCTCTCTTTATGAGCACGTTTGGCCCAGCCTTCGCAAGAGGTTAACATTTCATCAGACACATTGGGTGAGTTCTGAGGACCATGGACGACTACGACTTCATGCAGTATTACGCAGCATTATCATTTGATTTTCTCGACCAAATCGTCCAGAGGACAGACCAGCACGACCATGAAAATACATCACTCGAAAGCCTCTACAGCAAATCGGAACCTCTAGGGACAACTCGCACTGCACTTTCACCGGACTCTGAATATCGGGGCTCTGGATATCGGGACTCTGGATATTCGAGCTCTGGATATCGGGGCTCTGGATATTCGAGCTCTGGATATCTGAACTCGCAATCCTCGGTACCCTCGGATGTATTACCCTTGATACCAATTAAGTTACAACCGGAGGAAATCCAAGTACCATCCCCCGCACCTCAGCCTTCTCCGCCGAGCATCAGAAATACCAAGCCCCAAAATGTCAAAACGAAACCGAGATATGTTTGTCCTGTCCCAAGCTGTTTACGCGAATATGTTCGCAAGTCCTACTATGTCAATCACATAAAGTCAAAACACCCCGATCATAAATTGCCTGTCGAGACAGATCCAACATTACCGCCGTCTCTCGATGCTGAGCCCAAGAAAGACGCGCCAGACCAGAGGGATTTGAGCACGGAAAACCCTACTCTTGAAGAGCATTTTCTAGAGCCACCGTAAGTAAAGCTCGATGTAGATGTTTTATTGGAGATAAGCTAATAATTCCCTTTACTGAAAGTGTTTATGAATGGTTTGAAGAGGTTCTCAATGATGGAGACACAGTCCCTTCGAGTCAGGGACTGTGGCCAATAGCCTCTTCACAGCAATCTATCATTCCTACCCCCAGCCAACTACCCTCGTCTCTCACTCTTTCCTGGACGAACTCCTCGAATTCGCCATGGTTCGAATCGGATGGAGAAGCGTCTTTTGTGGCCGGCGATAACTCTGTCATTTTGACGAATTTCAGTGATGTATCTACCTCAGCCGCGCGGCTGGCATCGCTTGCTTCACGGCTCGTTACGCTTTACCTTGGACAGACAGCTGGGCCTCGAGATGGTAGTGAGACTTCCTCACAGACAAGTCCTAGCTCGAGCATGTCTAGCCAAGCGAACAGGAATGCTCCTTCAAGCTCTGTCACAACGTCGCCGTCAATTGAGAGATCTCCACAGAAGAGACTGCGCCCTAATGACAAGGAGGACGAGTCAAGAGACAGAAAAGTCCCCAGAACGTCCGACGTCTCGCCAACTGGCACAGACTCGAGACTCCTGGCTTGCCCGTACTCGAAATTTGACCCAGCCCGGTATTCAGAACGCAATGAGCACGAACAGAATTATCGAGGGTGCTCAAGCTGTTTTCTCAAAGACATTCCACGCTTGAAGCAGCATTTATATCGTGTCCATCGGCGACCTGAGCATCACTGCCCGACCTGCTTCTCATCTTTCGACTCGAAAGTCGTCTTGGACGCCCACATTGTCGAGAGATCTTGTCAGCAGCGCGTCTCTCCCTTTGAAGAGAAGATGACCCAAGATCAACTGATGGCGATCAAAAGGCGCGAAATAGGTCGAATGCGCTCCGATGCATGGTTTGGCATCTACAAAATCTTGTTTCCGAACTCGCCGTTGCCCCTGGATCCGTATGTCGACAGCATCCACGCGGACACGGTGCAGAACTTTATTGCTTTTTTTGAACGCGAAGGGCGAGTGGTTCTAGCGTCGGAGATCAATCAACGCATGTTTGGTGAGGTGGCCACTACGCCTGCGGAGCAGGACTTCGTCGACAGGGTCCTCGCGGAGTCGATAAACGTGCTGCTTCAGCGGCTTAATTCGCGATTCAGACAACCATCGTCATCCGATACTACATATGTGTAATTTGAACCAATGGGATTTCAAGATCCCTGCCACCCTCTGTTTTCCAGACGAGCCGAACTATAGATGGCTTTCTATATATATCCCGGCCAGTCCATTCAAGGGCAATGGCCCTTTAATACAATGTCACGCAAGGACAATGTCCATCTTCATCTCCCTCAAAACATCCTGCCACTGTATATCCACGTCTGCGCTCCCTCGATCATCCGCATACTGCCGTCTCCGCCACAACTCTCTCGCAATGTCCTTTGAAATCTCCAGGTTCATGAACCCATGCCTCCTCTTCAGCCGATACCAGCTGAGCATCCTCTCCTGCATCTCCTCGCTCAAGCACTCACACGCCACGATGAACGGCGGCCAAACCAACGTGCAGCCTATGCTGTCGCCCCCGAGGCTTTCAATGTCTTCGAGATGCGTGACGGCTTTCGAAACCATAGTCTGGATGCACGCGGCCTGCGGGGAGAGGCGGCGGACGGTGCGGAGGAAGTAGATGAGCGAGGCGTAGTAGAAGACGTAGGCATGGTGCAAGGTTAGAAATTGAGCGAGGGGTGGAAGGCCTGAGAGGTCCAAATTCGACGGCGTCTGCGCGTACAGTTGGGCTTCCAGATCGTCCAGCATCGCGGCCGTTGGCGGCTCCGAAGCTGTGGTCGAAATGCGATTGGTCAGGCTGTTCATCACGACGATGTGTTTCAGGATCGGACGGGTGAGCCCGAAGAATCGATCGAGCACGTAGTTCCGCTCGTCGCCCAGGAAACTTTCGGATTCGACGTCGATGGTGGACGGGAGATTGATATTACACAGCGCCGCAATGGCGAGATATCCTTGGTAGACCATGGAGGAAGATTTGTCGCGATTCCACTCGCTGTTTTCTATGGTGGACAGCCACGAGGCGCCACCTTGAAGATGTGTGCGCCATTCGCCCGCGCGGCCAGTGATCATGTCCATTGCAGAGAACATGGTGATGGTCGCGAGAATGGAGCCCCGGTGTAGGTGGACCTGGCCGAGATTTTCGTCGTTGTCCTTGAGGTTCACGAGGCTATGGCGCAGGTGCATGATTGCCAGATTGTAATGCTTCATCGCCAAGGTAAGGTTTCTGCTATCCCCATGGAGAAGCTGCCCACGGCTGAAGGCCGAGGTGGCACATAGCGCGTGGAAAAGTGCAATCTGTCCGTTCGATTGGTTTGATGGCGACGATAGGCCCGCGAGAGCCATGGGCGTGAAGACGCTGCGAAATGGGTTGTCCGGCCGGTCGACGGGGACGAGGTGCCAGCAGACGAAGTTTGTCCAGTGGTGGATGAGATCTCGTTGTTCAGCCGGGCGCGGTAGAAGGTCGAGGTGGCGTATTGCAAGCGGTAAAGCAGGACTCGAAGGCCATTGTGTGGGCGTGTCCGGAGTGTACGCTGAGCCTTGAAGATTGGTTGTGGAGGGAGAGATGATGGTTTCTATCAATTCGTCTTCCGGGTCATCAACATCCTCTTCCGAGAGATCTGTTGGCAAGACCGAATCTCGTCTTTCGTAAGTTGGAAGTGTCTGTAAGTCTGGATCAAAAGATGGTTCAAGCTGTTCTGCCTCGGTTGTTTGTAGCGAAAAGACTGAGAATGGGCCTGACGACACGTATCCCTCTCCGGGCAAGAGACCTTCTATGACCTCCAAAGCCTCATTGACATCGACTCGCATGAAATTCGACCCATCATCATAGACGGCGGGCGTGCCGATGACGCGCCGGATGTTCTGCTCGCGCTCTTGACTGTTCGGGTCGACCCAGACGAGCTTGATGCCGTATCCTTGACATTGGAATCCACCCTTGATACATCGCGCACAATGGGGTCTTGCTTCGTCACATTTCACATGTCTATCACGGCATGTCCAGCAACCTGAGAATGTCTTGGTGTGCTTGACGGCTTCTCGAGCCCTGGTTGCTTTGCGCGCTGTGTGAGCTGGTTTCATCCGAGATGGCACATGGCGTGGCCGGGGTGCATGGTAATCGTGGACCAGAAGGGTAGTGGTTCAGTTACATTGAAAGCCTTGTTCGAATCTCCTGGTTTGATAAGTAGATAAGCAATCGTCATCAGCAAAGATACCAAGACACCCAAGGTTTGACATGAAAAGATGAGGGCACATGTCAGCTCTGAGAGCGCAAAGAGGGGAAATGCGTCCTCCGGCACTGGAGAATCACGTTTCTCCGAGATTCTTCCGTTCTTCAGGAATTAGCCGACCTGATTGGACAGGCGCCCGGCTCACAAAAACCCTCTTCCGTGCATATCCCAAATACGAGGTATTACCGAGTAGTGATTCCTCCATCGCGCCTCCACATCCGCTGGTCCCTCGCCGGCCTCTTGGCTGCTCAGCCTCGCAAGGCGTTTCGCATCTCCGCCTTCTCCAGCAACACGACATGGTCACACACTCATTCCTCCTTTGATCCCTCAGTGTCCTGATGCCTGATCTGCGCCGGATCGATGTCGGTCCGTATTCAGTTTGATCAACCCGACCACAGGTGCTACACAAATCTCGACTTCGTCTCGGGCATTGTTATCCTCATCCTACCCAACGATGCCACTATCTCAGCAGTCACGGTCAAGCTCGAGGGCGAGAGCCGAACTCGGCTTGCCGTACCCAAATTCCCCAACAGCGAGCGTACGGATAAGAAGAGATCGGAGCTAGAGTTGCACAAGGTTGGTGAGAAGAATCTTTCCCATCCACAGCAGCTTTTGCTCACACATCAGGCTCCAGCTTTTGTATAAAGTCATAACCGTTTTTCCAACACCCGAGTTTCCAGAAAGAAGTAGCAGCGCGGCGTACACCCTCCTCGCCGGTCAATACCACTACCCGTTTAGGTTCAAGGTTAGATCTCTCCAGCAACTGACCTGGGAGTTTGACGGTGACTGCGGCTAACTGGTCTGGACAGTTCCCATTCAACAACGACTGCCAGAAGAATCCGAGTCCCCTTAAAGATATCAAACTCGGTCATGTGAATGTCCAATTTGCACCGGACACCACGAGACATGTAAAGAAGACATTGCCGCCCTCACTGAGTGGCTTTCCTGGTGAGGCAGAAATAAGATACTATGTGAAGGCGACAGTCGTCCGGCCCAAGTTCTTTCAAGAGAACATCAGAGCAGTATGCTATCCACAATATGGCTCGTCCTAAGACACTTCTAATGCATGACAAAGATTGCCGATATCAACTTTCTACCTATCGAGCCTCCTCGACCTCCCAATCGTCATGAAGAGACCTTTGCAAGGCGGAAGAGACAGTTCCAGAGATACCCAGCTGAGTCGCAGAAAAAGGTGGCTGGCCTTTTCAGCAGGAAATCTTCGACCCCCACATCCGCTGAGGAGGAGCCTCCCGCTTTTCAGGTTGACGCCCGTCTTCCAAGTCCTGCCATCATCACATGCAATGAACCACTGCCGTTGCGCATCTTGGTTGAGAAGCTCAATGACAGTTCGGCGACCGCGTATTTGAAGATGCTACAAATTGAGTTGACAGGGTACACACAAGTCAGAGCCCTTGATCTGGAGAGGACTGAAATCACAAAGTGGCCATTGATGTCACAGGCGAACATGAACATGCCCCTTGGAAACCCTACCGAGAAAAGCCGCAAAGAGTGGAAACTCCCCTCTCGGTTATGGGAGGACCTTCCTCTCCCCAATACTGTATGCCCTACATTCGATACCTGCAACATCTCTCGACGGTATGAACTAGAGGTCACCGTGGGTTTGGCACATGCCATGGCGAGTGGCATACGACCAGAACTTATGGTTCTTCCTTTGCGTCTGCCAGTCTTGGTGTACTCGGGCATCGCGCCTCCTCCGAAGCTGCTGCAGGCTATGGCCAACAATCCCCGTCCCCAACCTTCTCCTTTACACCTGGCGCCCCCAAGGCCGTCAGAGATCAATGGGACGTCTTCACAACCAACCACTCCATTAGAGACACCGACAACTCCGTTGTCCGAGATCAACTCGTACCCGGCTCCAGTGGGCTCTTACAATCTGCATGAACAATCAGATATTCCGGACGATGCTCCACCCAGCTATGAAGACGCGATGGCTGAGGATATTGCGCCCGTGGATGGCCCTAGGAGGGATTACCAGGTGCCAGCTCAACCCGCAGCTCAGCGGCCTCCCTTCAATTCCGACGCAAAAGGAAGTGGTCTCGGTCGACGGGTCAGCGAGCGCCTGTTTTCCGGCGGTGAACCAGTCACTCCCACTAGGACAACTTCAATAGGAAGCACTGTGCCAGGCTCGACTGTCGCCGAGGACGAAGATCTTGGGTCACCTTCAGGGGAGAGCTCCAGCCGAATGTCTGCCTGGCGGCGGAGTTTCAGTGGGCAAAAGGAATAAAAGCAAATCTTGATATTTTTACGATAGTAATGTCGTGATGCCATGATGAAGATTATCGAGTAGGATACAACGAGCAACGCCCAACGAACTACAAGGAACCAATATTCTTGTATACATAATACATCCGTTCTGTTTGTTTCTGCAGTTCTATCTCTCTTTACGTATCCCTTGTACAATAAAATCGAGTATACCAGCAGTCTACCTCCTAATATGGATGCCGATGCCAGCAAATAGGGGTGTGTAGCCACCAGTAGCCTCTCGCTGCGTTGGCCATGGCTTGTTGGTTGGGATTGAGGATGAAATTGTTGGTGGCAGAGGCAGATGCCATGACGTCAGATTGTGATGGTGAAACTTCAGCCTGCGCCATCGTTTCCTGCATTACTTCATCCACCTCTTCACTGGACACAAAGTTGACATTAGGCCTCACTACCTTGGCCTTCAAGCTGCTCCCTTGTGCTCACAGATGTGTGCGCTCCAGATGTGTAGCATCCAATAAGACTCATACGTTTCGCTTGGAGGGAGTCCTCCGAGGAGCAACCATGGACGTCTTGAAGGAGAAAGTAAGTCGTGTTTATTGAGACCAGCCATATGCATCTTGTTGAGAATGTTATTATGTCCATATCGAACCGACAAATGCCACACATATCTTACAGCCTACGTCTTCAGAGTGAGACTCGGAAGCAGGACCAAAGCTCTGGTTCGAGCTTCAGTTCTATACTCGGACACGGCGCCAACACGCTGGCTTCAGCGAACAATCATGCCTTGCAAAGCTCACATAGCTAACACACTTTAAAGACACCAGGGTCTGGCGGGCATCGCAGTCAACACTCATCCTCATTTGCTGCCATCGGTGCTGCACTTATCCCCACGGCCATAACAGCTGCCGTTTTCTTGTTGGCATTTGCGGCTATTCGCTCGAGGTATCGAAACATTTACGCACCCAGAACGTATTTCCGAACCATTGACCACCGGTAAGTCCCTCAAATAGAGCCGAGTGGTAATTGCTAACAAGGTCTAGAGACCGCACACCTTCATCTAGTCATACATCCGTCTCCTGGTGGCATGACTTCCGGGCTCTCGACGACAAGTTTATTTTGCGCCATTCCTCATTGGAGGCGTATCTATTCCTCCGATTCCTCCGCCTAATTGTTCTCATCTGCGTGGTGGGCTGCTTCTTGACCTGGCCGATCCTCTTTGCTGTCAATGCCACGGGAGGAGGAGATGCGACGCAACTGGATCGGATCTCGTTCAGCAATGTCGCCGACGGCAAGCGGCTCTATGCACATGCCGCGGTGGCTTGGGTCTTCTTTGGTAAGGTGTCTTTCTTCCCTCCTTGGCCTACCTAACGCTTGACTTCAGGATTCATTTTGCTACTCGTCACCAGGGAGAGACTCTTTGTCATAGGCCTTCGTCAAGCTTACCAGACAATTCCCGTGAATGCAAGCCGGCTTTCTTCTCGCGTGGTATTATACTTGAGCGTACCTCCCGCGGGACTTCGGGAGGAAAATCTTCGTCGCTACTTTGGTGAGAATGCTGTGAGATCTTGGGTTGTCTCAAATCAGAGCGACTTGGAAAAGTTGGTTCAAAAAAGGGACAAAAAGATTGACCAATTGGAAGAGTCCGAACTACAACTATTGAAGAATGCTAATCGCAGTAAGGATGAAGCTCGAGACAGTGGCGACGCGAGCTCCAGTCAGCAACCAAAGCCAGCGAACGAGGCGCACAGACCCAAGCATAAGTCGAAATATCTTCTAGGAGAAAAGATCGACAGCATCTCCCGTCTGAGAGAAGACATCACCGGTCTTGTTTCTGACGTTGATCAAGTTCGACAGGCTGACTCCAACGCCCCCGGTAAAAGGACTGGAGCGATATTCGTCGAGTTCAAGGATCAGGTTAGCGCGCATCAAGCGTTTCAGCAAGTGCGACATCCATCACCTCTTACGTTACAGCCAAAGTACATTGGTATCCAGCCGAAAGAGGTCCTGTGGCAAAACCTCAATCTCGATCCGTCGGTCCGAATCACGTACTCTTATATTGCTATAGCACTTGCTGTTGCAACAATCATCTTCTGGTCTATACCAGTCGGTATCATTGGCACAATCTCCAACATAAACTACCTGACGGACAAGTTTCACTTTCTACGGTTCATCAATAATCTCCCGGATCCCATCCTTGGACTCCTCACAGGACTGGTGCCACCCCTACTACTCAGCTCTGTGGTGTCCTATGTACCGTACCTTTTTCAATATGTGGCGAGACTATCCGGTCAACCGACAAGCAAATCAGCAGTCGAGTGGGCACAAACATGGTACTTTGCTTTCCAAGTGATTCAAGTCTTCCTCATCACGACCTTTTCATCAGGGGCTGCTGCATTGGCTACCAAGGTAGCAAATCAGCCCACGACGGTTCCGACTTTGTTAGCGAAGAACCTCCCCAAGGCATCGAACTTCTATTTGACCTACTTCATCATTCAAGGCCTCGGCACTGCGTCGAAGAATATTTTGAATTACACTGATCTTTTCTCCTTCTTGTTCTTTTACTACGGCATGAACAAAACTCCGAGACAGAAATTCAACACTTATGCGCAGATGAAGGGAATCAGCTGGTTCAACGTCTATCCAAAGTTCACGAATTTAGCGGTCATTGCCATCGCCTATTCGTGCATTGCACCGCTGGTCTTGGGATTTGCGGCAATTGGCTTGTTCCTCTTCTATTTGAGCTATCGCTACAACCTCCTTTACGTGATTCAGGTCAAAACGGAGACGCGGGGAGAGAGCTATACGAGGAGTCTTCAGCACCTCATGACAGGGGTCTACCTGGCAGAATTGTGCTTGATTGGTTTGTTTGGCATCAAGAAGGTGGCTGGCCCGTCGACTCTTCTGACGGTATTGCTCGTCGTCACCGCTTTGTATCACCTGACAGTCAATCAGTACCTTTCACCGTTGGAAAAGTACATGCCGGTAGATGTGTTGTCGGAAGAGGATGAGGAGCGGCCTCTTCTCGGACTCAGCACTGAGCGCAATCACACCGCTCAGGCCGATCAATCATCGGGCTACAAGCTTGGTTCGAGAAAGGTTCCGGCGGTCTTGCTCGATCCTTTGGCCAGTCTGCTCGAGCCTCGGATTTTCGCTTCGCAAGACTCCCTTCGACCGTGGCTTCAGGATCCCGAGGGTGAATCAGAAGAGGTGAATTCCTATAGCGAGGAACAACTCAAGAATGCGTATCTACCTCCAGCGTTGACATCGAAAACTCCCAAAATCTGGCTACCGAAAGACAGGAAGGGGCTGTCAAAACGCGAAGTGGATGCGAATGAGAAGGCAGGATTGCCTAGCACGGATGAAGGTGCTGAACTCGGCCCATCGAATGAGATCTTGTGGAACCAGGATGATTTTACGACAGTGCCGATTTTCAAGCAAGCGACTCGATATTGATCATTATACCTGAGTTACGGTCAGTGGAGGCGCCCAATCATCGAAAACTGTCGCCTACACGATCTCCTGGCGGTCCGTACAAATTACACATCAAATAAACCATGGTCTAGAGCTACACCTGCGTCCTCGTTTGAGGCTAGGTCCTTTTGCCTTTCAAGTGGCTGCCTGACACACCACCAGCACAGTTTCCTAATACGATGCAGACAGAAGCCTAGGTCAGATATTGCATTGGCTTGTCTGTTATTCTGGACAAATAGTGCCGAGTGCGTCCCATACCCTTGCGCGGTGTCTATAGGTGCGTGTCTTTGGTCAGCTGGGTGCTCGTCGAGAAGGAAATACTCACTACCCGGCCTTCTGGAATCTGGAAAGTGTCTTTGTTGTCTGCAATGTACCGCTGTCGATCACTTTCCCCGTTCAAGCGCACGCGAAGGTGCCAGCTGAGTTCAGCCCCGCCATCAACTCCAAGCAACCGAGAACGGTTACCGTAATCATCACGAGCGCCGAATGTGTCGAATGATTCTGCGATCTTGATTCGTCCACAGGCGCAGGCTGTAAAGCCACGGGCTGCCCAATACTACTTCTACAGGGCTGGGTACAGCAAACCTCCTGAAGGATGGCAGAGGCTCAGTTGACGCACTGCTGATTCCACACAACGTGCAAACAATCATCACATCAACATACTCCCTTCTAGCCAGTCTGCGAAACGGTTGCCCCTTTTGGCGTGGCTGCTAGCCTCGTGAGATGATGTCCTGTCGATGGCTGTTCGGATTGGATGTTTCTCCAGCCCCGACTCAGCCCTAGCATCTGTGGCACTCACTCGCACCATTGCTTCATACAGATCAGCGAGTGTCAAGACATTGTAGCATTGACTGATTAGGCGATAGACTCTCCGTACAATCATCAACGTGGGCAACATGGTGACGCCACAGAGCAAAGAGGACAGTTTACTGCGTATATCAGACGAGGTATCCGCGCTTCATGGTATAAATATCCCTTGGTCCACCGCTCATGAATGCGATTCTGCACATCAAATCCATGTCCACAAGACGAGAATCAACAGTTGATTTCAAACTCACTATATCTTGAAGCAATAGTTAGCTTTCGCCCCCTGTTCTGCCACAACCAATCTAGCCCAGATTCATCATACCAGATATACCATGTCCACCTCGAAGCGCCCGTCCATCTTCTCCCGCCTGTCCTCGAGCAGCGCCGCCTCTGTATCGTCGACCTCGTCAACACGACCTTCCCTCCCTGCAGGTAGCCGCGACACCGTCAGCGCCCGCTACGCGAAGGACGGCAAGGGCTACGACTTCAACCTGAGCTATCCGTACAGTACGAGCGCTGCCAAAGCCTCCTCGACGCTGTCTTCATCCGAGCCCGACGTCCCGGTCGAGTGCCGCAAGTTCAATCTTCGCTACGCCAAGGACGGCAAGGGACACGACTTTACCGCGACATACGTGAACATGTCGTCGACAGACTCCTCCACCGCCCTCGTCGCCTCCGACGCAATGGCCGTGGGGGCGAGCGAGTGCAACACGAACATGAGATATGCTTGGCACCAAGGCCGACAAGGGTCCTGAGTCGGCACGGGGGGACATCACACAAGCACAGGTTCGCTGTCGTGTATTGTTGAAGACGTAACAATGCGATGCGATGAGGGGCCCGGTCGGCTATTGTCTGAAACAGGTGGTATCACGGAGTAATCATGAAGGAATTCCCTAAAACGGCAGTCGGGGGCTCGTTGCGTAACCGGTGGCCTATCATCGCTACTGCAGATCTGGTGGTGGCCTGGATACTGGTTTGGGTACTTGGTCCTGACTCTGGCTCTGTAACCATTCCATTATACTGTATACCTACCTACCCACCTAGCGAGCTAGGTATGACCCTCGAAGGATCTATTACCGCGTCAGGCAATAGGCCGCGTCCCCATCCCCATCTCCATCGCCATTCGGGAACCTCTAAGAAACAACAAATATCCGGGGGGCCCAAAGTCCATGCGCATTGCTTATTTATTAGTTTGTTAGCTTATTACTTTCCTACTTTTTTTTTTCTTCCTCGTGGAGTTTTTGCTGCGTTTTTCATATTATTTTCGTTGTCTCCGCCCCCTCCCTACGAATATCATGGCAAGGTCCTTGGCCTTTTTCACTCCTACTCCTTACTCCTACTCCTACCTCCGGGGGGCCGTGGGGGGCCGTGGCATGGCATGGCATGGCATGCCATGGTATAACCATCCGACGAGTAAGGATCCACCTTCCTATCAATCCGTCACTAATATCTATCTATCTCTTTAATCCACATCCTACTTCGTCTCCAACTGCAGATATGTGCGACGTGTAAGATAACATGGTACATGGGACAAGGGACGAGGTACGAGGAAGCGGAAAAAAACCGGCGAACAAAACAAAACACAAGAATCATGGTCATTTTTGAAAAAAAAAAAATTGGAATACGAATTGAGATTTGCATTCGTAATTTAATCATCCGTCATTTGCAGTTGTCCATTCATACCCCCTACACTGCCATGCACCACGAGCAGCAACGCCAGAGTGAATGTGCCGTGTACCATGTGCCGTACCATGTACCGTGACATGACGTGACGATGGTCTAGTCAACGTGTGGACGGACGAGAGAGAGAGAGAGAGCATGGAGGCGGGAAGAACGGAGAAGAAACCCCGGAAAGCTTCAACTCCGACGCAGGACGCCTTGCTGGCCAAAACATATCCTTCCTTCCATCCATCCATTTATCCGGTGGTCTTGAGAAGCGTGAGAGCAGAGATAGGAGACCCGGCAGTGGTCGTGCTGTGCAGAATCTCGGAAAGTGAGGCAAAAAAGTCATGTCCGTGGATCCGTTCATCATCTATCTAGTCGGTCGCCCAAATGCTCCTTTGAACGCAACAAGTGTGGAGTGCCGCCACGGTAAACAAGTTTGCCCTCCTCAAACCGCCTTGCCACCTAGAAGCGGCTCTCTCTCGCGATCACCGCCCCCCTCGACTTTCGTCTTGGATTCCCCCTTTTTCGATACCGAATCCTTCCGCAGCCATTCCTGCACAACCCCCCTGTAGTCCTTAGCCATGTAGGGGCTGAACAGCTCGGCAAAGAAATTCCCTTTCCGCCAGTACTTCAGGTTGAGGTCCTGGAGGAGCAAGTCCAGATACGGCACTTGGTCGAAGACCAGGTCCGGGAAGAACCGGCCGTGGCCGTAGGGTGCGCGGTGCTTGGCGTACTGTGCCGTCAAGGCTGCCTCGTCGAATACAGAGGCCGGGTCGATGTCGAGTTTGTGGTTGAGGTACGCGTACGCCCAGAGACATTGTAGCTCGCACCGCGGCGTGTTGGCCAGGTTGGAGAACATGCTGATGAACGCGAGCGAGTTGTCACCGTCCCGAGTTGGCCCGGGCGGTGCGATGGCGCGGTAGAGTCGGAAGGGCGTGTAGTTGACCTCGCGATCCATGCCGGGGTTAAAAGGTTGGATGACGGTCGACGTGGGTGATTTGAACGGCCCAGCAAGTAGGCGCGGGAATTTGGAGCCGATAATCATGTTGGCCTTGTCGTTCAGGTCCTGCCAGAAATTATACTGCTCCTGGCTGTAGCTGGTGGACGGAATACCGAGGTCGGCATGTATGGTGTCGGGGACGAACTTGATAGTAGAATTTGCAGAGAAGCCTGTCGCGGTAACTAGAGCGTCGGCTTGGATGTTGGAGCCACTGACGAAGTTGATGGCACCTTTGGACAGGCGGAGGATGTCTTCGCGGTGGACTCGTACCTCACCAGTCTTGATCATCTCGTAGATGTCCTTCTCGTAACTATAAATTCCGGACGCGGTGCCGTACCAGAAAGGGCTAGACATGTGATGTTAGACGAGCCATCGATTCACAAGAGAAACATACCTCTGCTCCGGCTCCAAGACCTTGGTTCTCTCATCTTTCAACATGCCGCAATCGTCCAGAGTCGCCTTGTGGAGATTGGCCCAAAAGCCCTGTGAGATAATCTTGCCGAGCTTGGTGAAATGGAGGAAATTTCTGATCCAGCCGAATCCGTCATTCCACAAGCACGGACTGAAGAAGGACACGAATCTCCTGGCCGGGAGCTTTTCTCGCACTGCTTGTAGTGGTCCCATGGTACGGGCGGGGAAGATCCACTCAGGACCCTTGCCCGACTTTCTGATAATCCATTCCACCTTCTTACCAGCCTTACCGGCGAGATGGACGGCATCGTAGGCAGACTTGCCACCTCCAAGCACGGCAATCGTTTCAATACTAGGGTCATTGGTGAGAACGCTGCCCTTCATTCCCAGTTCTGCCGAATGCATGATTGGACCGCCAAAATCCTCCGAGCCGCTCAGTTCTGGTCTGTGTGGCACATTTGTGACACCTGTCGCGACGACCAACTTGTGCGTCTGCAGATCGGCCCCTGAGTCAAGTTTGACATTCCAGCCTTGGACGTCTTTGAGCTTGGAAATTTCGGCGACGGTCGAGTTGAAGTCGATTAAACGCAAGAGGTCGAAAGTTTCAGCATACGCTCTGATGTACTCGTGCATTGCTTCACCGGAGACATGCTGACCCTCAGGCACGCCAAAGCCATCGTGCATGGGGAAATCCGAAAAGTCGATACCTCCGCGGACATTGTTCGTCTTGAGGCCGGGATAGAGATTCTCTTTGGACCAGACACCACCAACCGTTTTGTTCTGATGCGTGAATGAATCAGTACGTGAATCAAACCCGCCGTCCAGCACCAGTGACAACTTACAGAGTCCAGAATTTTCACTCTAGCCTCAGGCTCACATTCGCGTATCGTCTTTGCGGCGCACAGCCCTGAGGGGCCTGAAAGACCTGTTAGCGAATTGGAGGGGTCTGATTGGAAGGCGTGAAAGGGATCGACTTGCCAGCTCCAACAATCAGATAGTCGTACATGGCATCGGTTGACATGTCAAAGTCCGGGGTATCAGGTGTCACGTCGCTCAGCACGTTGCAGAGATCAGCCGGGAGAGCAAAGGCGGAATAATCACAACAAGGGATGTGAGAGCCATTTTTCTAGAGAAGTGAGAGAGATAGGGCGAGATGGAAGGGGGCTGCCTTCACGACAAAACTCGGGGGGGTCTGAAAAGTGAAGAGAGGGGGAGAGAGAGAGAAGATGGTGACGGATTCGGCACCAACCTGCTTCCCAATTAGCTCCGAACAGTCAGAATCGACCTTTCACTTCACTTTTGGCCATGATATTTGGGAAAGAGACGAAAAGTCCACAGCCTAAATGCCACCTAGTAAGTGCCCAGAGTCAGCCCGATCCGTAAGCTGATGGCAGTGATCGAGGCGATGGTGTTTGGTGGTAGTGGTGGTGGTGGCGGTATCATCATGGGTGGCAGCCCGACTGCGTTTTGGAATCCAACCAATTGACGATGTAGGCGTGGCTCTCTCGGCTCTTGCCTCTCGCACCATGTGGTTGGGCCTGATCAATAATGACAGGGCCACTTTTTCGGTTACCGACAAACCTTTGGGCAAAGCGATAAGGACCTGTCAAAACTGTGGAGGGTGAAATAGACTGATCGGCTGAGATCTTCCAGAGTTCGGGCTGGAGCGCAGGCGGCTAGCAGTGAGTGGCTCACCAGCTCGCTCACCTCACCAAGGCCCAGTCATCAATGCGCAGGTGGGGGTTTTCGTGGGGGCGTCCACAAAGAGTCTCTTCTTCTCTTCTTCTCTCAGGCTGTCTCTCTCTAGGGCGCAGGCACCCGAACCGCTTCAGCCGCATAACTCGGTACGAGAATCTGCAAGGCCACCATTCCCACCCCCCTCGCATGTGCCTTGATCGCCTGAAGTTGTCGTCACGGGCCGGCTGACATACATACACAACACCTCGGTGCGTACAAAGTACCTACGAGAGACAAGCTGCATGCCAACGAACACCAACGATCCTGGCGTCAGACCCGATGATTTGTAAAATTCCTGGAGATCCAATCGAGCAAGCCAAGTCAGATCGGGACACATGCCGGGCGGCTTTGTCCAGCATGTGGCGTGCACAAGCGAGGTACTGTAAAGTCAAGTCTGGAAGAGGAGGAGGAGGAGAAAAGAGGCCATTAATTTTATTGTGGATAGGCTCATTCCGGAATAAACCCCTTCCTACCACGCGCTTACTCGTCGTAAACCATTGTGGTTTGTCACTCACTGTGGACGATGGCCTCAATTCGGTTCACCGTGGGATGAAAGTGCACAATTCTTCGTCTGGTGGTCGATTACACTCCATCTTCACGAGAAACATCCTCTGCTGTGCTGGCTACAAGATCATCACGCCCGCGCTCATCGTGTCCAGCAAGTGAGCCTGTGAATCTTGACAGTGCCCCCCTGGGATTGTTGATGTCATGGGACACTATAAACCCCTTGAACACCTTCAACCGATGGCAACCGCAGTCTCAGTCGCAACCTTCTCGTTGCTGAAAATGACCTCCTCGTGCCTGACTTCGGCGTGGTCCTTTTCGCTGGCACTGCTTCCGTCCTCCTTTGCAGCCATGGCCACGGCGGCAACTGATCCCACACACTTGTACGTGCGGAACTTGCGAGCGGGCAGACGTGCTTCGAACTACACAAACAACCCC